TAAAATATTTATTTAAAATATTTATAAAGAGCTCAAAAAATCAATTTCGGAACACTATTGACGATTTACAAAAAAGCCATAAAAATAAATTTCATCGCATTTCGTTCAGTAGAAGTAACTTTTAAGGAATAGTGATAGGAAAATGTATTTGGGGTTTGCCTAGCAAATTGGGGCTTAGAGAGGTTTTAACCGAAATTAAGATCAGTGGGTTGTATTCCTATGTGCTTTACCTATGGTAAAAATTTGGATACTTATTACGTAGCATACTATAATTTAGTACGGCAGTTAGTACTGAAGAATACTGAAAAATACATGATGATCCATAATATTGAACCAGAATTATCACTTCATCGCCACCACCATACACAGCAGAAAAATAATTCTTAATAAACTTTGCAATAAAGATGTCAGGTAAGAGTTACTTTTGATGCAGCAGGTTAGATGAAACTATTTCTTACGGTCAATCGATAATCTAAATCTATATTTCCTTATTTTCATGAGATACACTTTATTCATATGCATTAATTAGAAAAAAAAATACGATTCAGTACTAATGAAAATGTAACTATTTTTTTTTAATTGAAGTTTTTGATAATATACAAATAAAATAAAAAATTCTATCATGATTAAGAAGATTTCAATCAGTTTTTTTAGAGTTGTGAACTGAATATTGGACGGGTTGTTTCAAACCGATGAATTTCTATAGATTTAAAGTAACCCGTTCAATATTTCAATATCTCTAATAAAGAGTATAACATTTCGTACAAAAATTAATTGAATTTAATTATTTGAATTATTATCTAAAACAAGTGAAAATTTAGTAATTAATATAAATTCTAATAAAGCGATCACTATAATACGAAAAATCAAATTTATGGCTTCATCTTTTATTAAAAATAATTTGCAAGTAGTGATGAGACTAACAATACGAAAAATAGGTTAATAATTTATAAAGAATCGTATTTTTTCACTGGTTACGAGGTATGGCATTTTAATTTTTAATTTTTATGCCATGGATTATTTATATTATCTGTTCAATATTCAGTTCACATTTATATAGTGGTGTGAAATACGTGTCTCAAAATAACACGCAGGGATGTGTTATTTACGACTATACAGTATTACTTTCAGAAATTAACAATGCAGTTGATTTATTTTAACAAATAAATTAATTCAATTTTCAATGATTTTTAATTCTGATTTTTCTTTCATAAAAGAAGTAATACAATGCAAATTCTTTATATATAATATTTCATTCCTATTATCGTTACAGTATTATACCAAATGCCTACATTACAAAAAAAACTTCCATCACTTGCGTTAAAAGAAGTCTTTGAGATTTTAGCAAATGATATTAAAACACTTTATTCTTGCACACAAGTAAATTCCGAATGGTTTTGTGAAGCATCTCCATTATTGTGGCGTGATCCTTTTTCAAATAAATCAAAGACACACTTTGCTATAGGAACTTACATACAAGAAATGTCTCTTCAAAAAAAGCAAATTATCAAAAAAAATTTTAACATTTCAAGATTCGAATCTAATTCATTATTACCATACTCTTCATTTTTACGGTCTATTAATATAAATAATTTCATGGATGCTGTGATCAACTTTTGGCAAAATTTCCATAAATATTCTCAAGTTTGTATGAGAATATTTAATATAAAAATGATTTTTAAACTTCTTATTCAATTATTGTTGAATAAATCTACTAAAATTCAACACTTTAAATTCGTAGATTTATACTATAATGGTTTTCC